AATTTGGTCTGGGCCCGAGGTGGGCTTAATAGCCGGCGACTACTGTAGTAGGTAAAAGGTTGTATGCCTCTATGGGAAGGATTTTATTGTATACAAAACTCCCAATCGCTGTCTCAGATGGCAGTGGCCACTGGCAAAGCCAGGGCTAGTGCTGACTGCGTCCAGTCAGGCCTGAGAGAAACTGAGACAGTGATGGCAGTTGCTTAAGCGGGATCACCGTGCAGGTTCAAGTGTTCTCTGATTGGTGCGTGCGACATTACCTGAGGGGTGTCGTAAGGTCTATTGGCCGAGGGTGGGGAGAGTGGCGTATTCAAGTGGCGCTTGGGCAGCCACAACCACCTTGGCCCATCCGTGTATGTGTCCGAGTGCGAGTTGGTCAAGTATCTGCAGGTCAGCACGTCTGAAATTGCTCATTACGATATTTGATGACCTTGAGGCAGCTGACCTTGAACAAGGACGCCAGAAAAGAAATGTTGGGCGTCGGCTGCAGTCTCAAATGACACCTCCAAGTGGACTCTAGATCACCTTTGCCCACGATTCCACAACATACAGTAACTCATTTGAGAGTTGATTTATCATTAAATGACGCTAATTTCCGGGTCTTTATCCTGATGTTATTTTAATGCGCTTTTGTTTATTTTCCCCATTCCAGTGACTGCTCTGCGTTATGCAGTATCTGAGGGCAATGTGGATGAAGTTATCAACCTTCTCTCCCTCCCGAACCCACCCGACCTAAAGGCGCCTACGGAGCCCAGAATTCTCTCTATTGCGGCACGCAAAGGCAAGCTGACTTTTTTTGAGATTGTGCTATTTCCTTAAACGCATATCAGTGTCCATCCCCCCAGTTCGCCGTATTTCTTTCGGAAGGTGGGGGGAGCATTTGTGAGTACAAAACAACTCGACGGACACACCCAAAGGTATAATTTCGAATTTCGTAGTTTTCCTAACCGGAAAGGGGAGTTCAGTCGCTGGAAATGCTCTTTTTATCTGAAAAGAACTCGACATGGCATTTGAACTTCCAACTTTCCAATCAAGCAGTTTATGTCTTCCTCTCCGATTTTCTCTTTTGTTGTCGCACGCCCAAAGTTCTATTTTTCTGTCACGTGTGCGCGTGAAATTTTATAATTGGTTTTTAGATTACACGCAGTAGCCAATCAACGCACAGCACGGTGACGCAAAGTTTTTGGTT